AAAATAAAAAATTATTATTATTATTATTATTATTATTATCTTTTCTTTTTTATTATAAATTTAAAAGGTATATACCGTTTCTTTTTTTTTTTTTAACAAAAACAAAAAAAACTTAAAACAAACGATTTGCTTAAAAAAAAAAAGAAGCAAAAATGAAAAAGAAAAAGGAAAAAAGGTAAAAAAAAAGTTTAAGACAAAGGAAAATAAAAGAAAAAAAAAATTGAATGAAGCAAAAACATAATGATAAAAAAAGAAAGAAAATAAAATAAAAGAAGGGAAGAAAAAAAACTCAGAAAAACAAACAAACAAACAACAACGAGAGCAAAAGAAAATGAAAAGACAAAAAAAATCGAACCCGAATTAAAAATATTAAAAAAAGGAAAGAAAAAATCCCAAAACGCAAAGGTAAAAAAAGGGATATAACGATGAAAACATTTATTTACTCTATGAAATAAATAAATTGTTGGGTTTTTTAGCGCCCGGAGTCTAATTACACGAACAAACTATTACTACGAGGATTATTAAACCTCTTTAAAATAATTAAAAATAAAATTTTTTTTCTTATCATCTCGAACACATTGACGGTAAAATTCTTTCTTTTATTACACGCTCACGCACATACGCACACACACACACACACGCGCGCGTTATTAATTTACATTTGAGATCGGAAATATAATGGTAATGGGGGAAAAGGTCAAAGGTTAAAAAGGTTAAAAACTGAGATTTTGTTTAAAACGTAAGGAAAATTTTCTTTTTTTTTTTTTTTTTAAATGAATTGAATAAACGGGGAAAAGATTTTATAATAAAAAGAAAGAGAAGGGGAACAAAAGAAAGGAAAAGAAGAGGGGATGGGAGGGGGTAAGAGGTTGATGATAAGAAAAGGCGCGAATCTTTTTAATAGCGAATGAATGAGGTTTTTTAAATTTGTCGTTGTATTTTTTATCTTCGTGTAATGTTTTTATCACAACGAAATTACTTTCCAAGGTTACAATAAAAAAAATTTTATTTACTTCCAATTTGAGGTTTTTCAATAATTGATACTCTACTTTTTTCACTTCCGTTTTTTTTTTGTTCTAAAAAAAATAAACAAATAAATTATTTATTACGAATTTTTTTTTTTTTTTTTTACTACTACCACTTTCTATTTTCGTTATATTGAAAAATTCATTTGTTTTATCTATTTCCGGTTTTATTAGTGCCGAATAGTACGACAACACATGGCACAAAATTTCATATCCGTTCGATAATTTTTTTTTTTTTTTTTGATTTGAAATTTTTTGGAGGGAAAAAAAAATTTTTTTAATTTTCTTTTGAAAATAATTATTAATAACAAAAAAAAACACGTGACGAATATTACGTTTATATAAGAAATCCGTCGTCGTCGTATTAATAATAATAATGTCAATAATATAATTTTTCTTTTTTTTTTGTTTCGTTTCGACTATAAAAATTTTATGACGTCATTTCTTTTTTTTTTCCTTACAAATATCGAAGCGTGGAAATTCAATTTGAAAAAAAAAAAATTTTCCTTTTTTTTTTTTTTATTTTATTTTTTTCTCGCAAAACGTGCACGCAGATTTTTTTTTTGTTCTTTGTATTTCATAAAACAAAACTACAATAAGTCAAAACGTGTTAGTTATTTTTTTTTTTTTCAATCGACTGCTTCCACGTTAAAATCAATAATAATAATAATTAACCACCGAATTTTTTGTCAATGGCGTAAAAATAAAAAAAAAAATTAAAAAATGAATGAATTTTTTTTTTTTTTTATTAAAAGAATATTTAGAAAATTTTCAAATGTTTCAGGACCGTAACCATTTAACACGATGAAAGAGAAAAGGAGAAAAGGAAAAAAAGAAAATTCCTGAAATGAAAAGAAAAGCAATTTTATTTTATTTTATTTTATTTTTACTTTTTTTTTTTTTATATAAAATCGAATTTAATAAAAGTTTATTGAATGAAGAGAATAAAAACTTTTTATCTGAATCGTATAAAAAAAAAGGAAAAAAAGGAAAAAAGAAAAAGGAATAAAATAAAATTAAGATATTTGCAAATAAAACGATTCATTTTGACCTGTTCAACTGGAACGTTACATAAAATATTAAATACTTTATAACATTGTTGGAAATCAAATTAAAAATTAAAAAAAAAAAGGAAAAATTCGATAGATTTTCGAGGGAAAAATGTCGTAATTCTAAAAAAAAAAAAGATAATAATAATAATAAAGGGAAATAAATAAATAAATTACGCGTTTTAACGCGTTCGTGAATAAAAAAGAAAAAAAAAAACACGAGCGAGTCTGATTCAAAGCGATGACGATTTTAAATTAATATCGTAAATAAAAAAAGAGACGATGAATGTATGAATGAATGAGGGGAAGAGAGGAGAGGAAGAGACGAGGAGGAGGAGAAATAAATGAATGAAACATATATGAGGAGAAAGAGTAAGGGGAGGTAATGTGAAGGTGGAATTTTTATATGAAAAAAAAAAAAAAATTAAAAAGAAACATTAAAAAAGAGGGGAAAGAGATAAGTGGGCGGAGCATGATTAGGCGAAAAAACGATGAGTTAAAAATTATAAAGGGGAAATAAGGAAGGGGAAAGTGGCGATGGAAAAGATAATAAAAGTGGGATGGGGAAAAAAATGAAAGGCAATCAGAGGGGAAGTACGAAGGTGGAATATATAATTGAAAAAATGAGAGAAACAGGGGGGGAGAGAACGATGGGAAAAAAAGGAGAGGGGAATAGGTGGAGGGGAGAAGTAAGGAATGTTAGGGGAAACGTTAAAAATTTTTTTTTTTTTATTATCGGAATTTTTACGAGATTTTTTTTTTTTTTCTTTTCTTTTCTCTAGTTTTTCAAACAATTTTTTTATTATTATTTTTTTTCATTCAATTTGCAAAAAAATTTGTTAAAGTACTTTAATTTTTTATATATTGTTTTCTCCAGTGATTCCAACCTGGAGAAAAACAAAAAACGTAAAAAAATTATATATATAAATAGGAAAAAAATTTTTTTTTCCATATTTCGAATTCATTTCGCGCTCGAATAATTTTTTTTTTGTTCTCTTTCTCTCTTTCTCTTTCTCTTTCTCTCTCTATATGTATATATATTTATATACATTTAAAATTGTTTTCCTGTCGTTTTTTTTTTTTATCGACTCGATTCCCTTCCTTTTTTTTTTTATTTTCCATCGTTTTCATGTTTTTCCAGTGACGTCAAAAATTTTCACAAAAACTTTTTTTTTTTTTTAGAAAAGCGCATCGTGTAAAAAATTTTTTTTTATAGTCAAATCACGTTTCGAAATAATTTAAATTCTTAAAATTTTCTTTTTTCTTTCCATCTTTTTTCCATACTTTTCTTTCTTTTTCTTTCTTTCTCGTCCTTTTTCTTTTTTTCCTTCATTATTTTCTTTCGTTCTTTTTTTTTATTTTGTCATAAAAATCAGTTTTATCAAATTAATTAAAAAATTCAGAATTAAAAAAATTTATCCGACCGCAGAAAATACCGCGGTAAAAAAATTTTCTTTTTCCCGGATTTTAATTACTTAAAATTTTAAAATTTTATTTTTTATTTTTTTTTGTAGAAAACCCGACAGCATTTTACTTTTTTCCAACTCTCCTCTCATTCTTCTTCCCCGTTTCACCTCTGCAACATTTTCCCCGTTTTTTTTTTTGTAAAAATTTAAATAAGATGAGGTTTTGATAAAAAAGGTTGCGGGGGGAGAAAAGGGGTCAAATGTGAGAAAAGCTCGTAAATCCATTCTTTATGGTCACGGTTACATTGAGTTAAATTGTCGCAAAGATAAAGTAACATGTGGATTACGTATGCATGGGGGCAAAACCCCTTTTATAACTTGTCGACAATAAAAAAAAAATTTTTTTTTTTTGTAAGAGAGAGAGTAAACAAAACCGAGATGTTAATGAAATTATTTTTATTTTTTTATTTTAGCCCGTTGGAATTTACAAAGACAAATACGAATGGGCTGGAAATCAAGAATCTGGAGATTGTTCACTTTTAATTAAACACGTGACTATCGATTTCGATGATGGAGAATGGGAATGTCAAGTAACAGCTTCCGAATTTACCGCACAAGATGCTTTAACGTCTTTACCCGTACGTCTTGTTGTTCGAGGTAAGAAAAAATTATTAATAATAATAATAATCCATTTTTATAAATTTTTTTGATCGGATTTATTACCGAATGGGGGTGAAACAAAGTAAATTTTGTTCCTTTTCCGTTACCATTTTCCACACTTCCCTTTTTCAATATAATCAAACAATCGATAATCAATCAAACAATGGTAAATTGTAATTATAAATTTTCTATTATTTTATTGTTTATCGTAATCGAATTTATTTCAATATAAAAGAAAAATTTTTTTTTTTTTCTTTTCTCATGAATACGTTTCTCATTTTATCATCATCATCATCATCATCATCGTCGTCGTCATCGTCGTTATCAACGTTCTCCAGAACGTATGCGTTTTAACTTCAATTTACCACAAAACGCTGATAAGATAACATTAAGATACATTTTACGTGATGATATAAAAATCAAAATAGAAAAATAAAAAATTTTTAAAAACTGTTTCGCACTTGTTTAACTTATGCAAACGTCGTTTCTTTTTATAATTTAAAAAAATTTTTTCCGTCATGATTTTTCGCACGTTCTGGTCATTCAACTGATATTTCCGGTCGATATTTGTCAAATTTTATCCTTTAAATTTTCGTTTATTAAATTATCAATTTTCGGTGAGACGAGGGGGACGAAAGGAGGCGGGGGGCGAGGGGGGTGATAAGAAGAAAAAGTAGTAAGTTAAACTATGAGAATTCATTTTGAAATTTTTCGGGATTTTAAATAGAGAAAATTTGTTTTTTTGGTAAATGAAAAACATGATGCCAACAATCAAAATAATAAAATTTCTTATTCTTTCTTCCTACACGAATAAATTTATTATATTCTTGTTCCACGATTTTCTTTGACGTCACGTCATGTTGTTGTTGTTGTTTTGAAAAGGAAAAAAAAAAAAATTTTTTTCCCCATCAACGTTATAACGTAATCAATTAAACGTTTTTAAAATGAGAAAATGGCTTTTCTTTTTCTCCAGTTTTTGGAAAATGATTTCCTGTCGTCTGCTATTTAATTTTAATATTTATCTTAGGGTAGTATGCAAAAAAAAAAAATTTCTTATAATTATTTACATTGCATTTTTATACGGAATAAAATTCGGTTTTCTTTTTTTTTTTCTTCTGAACTTTTTGGAAGAAAATTTTTTTATTTTTTTTCCAGCATCACAAAACTTCTCTCCAGCGAATTGTTTTTTTTTTACCATTAATTTAATTAAAATTTTATTCTCGTATGTTGAATCGATTAAAATAAGAAGAATGAAAATGATAAAGGCGTTTTTAACTTATGTCGAATTTTATTTCATTCATTTTCCAAAAAAAAAAAAAACTGGAAATTTATTTTTAAATCTGTTTTTTTTTCATTCTTTTTACGGATTCCAGATTTTTTTTTTTTTGTTTCATTTTATAGATTTTTTTTATTCGTAGTTTTAGTATGACGTCATTTTATGATTATTATCGTGAATATTTTTTTAAAAATTCACGTTTGATGGAACGCGAATCCCGTCGTTGCGTTTTTACTAAAAGAAAATGAGTCGTAACCGCGAGTGCTATTTCATGTACATTTTCCAGTTTTTTAAAAAAAAAAAAATTCTCCAGTAAAATTATCCTTGGGGTGCTTTCAGTCGATGATCAATATCATTATTATTATTATTATTACGTGACATTTTATGTTTTTGTTTGTGACTCTTAATTAGAAATTGATTCTGATGAACAAAACACGAATCGAACGTTTTTTTATACGAGGCAAATTTGAAATGCTGTCGTTTGTGTTTGCTCTGCGTAACGAAAACCCTTTAAAATTATTATTATTATTATTATTATTATTATTATCATCGTTATTATTATTATTATAAATGTAAGTGACGTGTCGTAAGTAAAAGAAAAAAAAGAAAAAAAAAGCTTGAATTGTTGAGATTTTATTTTTTTCTCCACATTTTTTTTTATGAAACAAACGAAAAAAAAAGAAACAACAACAACAAACAACAAACAATAACAAACAACAACAAACAAAAACGCCCATTTCTACTCCTGTCAATTTAAATTTGGCATAACTAAACGAAAAGTTTTTTTTTTTTTTTCTCGTGTCTGTTTTACTTTTCGTTTGTCTATTTAACCTTTCCCATTTATTTTAGTTTTTTCCTTTTTTTTTTAGGAGGGGAGAAGGGGAGGAGGTTTTGTTTGTTTTTGTTGTTTTCTTCTGCATTTTAACTTTTTTTTTTTTAAACAAATAAAAAAACTATTAATTAATTTTTTTTTTGGGTTTTTTTTTTACGTTTGGGGAAAACGTTTTTTAACTTTCGTGGGTTGAACGTTTTTTTTTCCGATTCCTGTCGTTTCCGCCCTCTACCTCCCCTTCCGCTCTTTCCTTTTTTTTCCGATTCTTCTCGTTCCCGCTCTCTACTCCCCTTCTTTTTTTTTCTAAAAAAAAAATTTTTTCTTGTCGTTTTTTTTTGGTAAACAAATTAAATTTAAATAAAAAAAGAGACCGTAATTGATTTTTTTTTTGTTTTGAATTTTTAAACAATACGTAAAACGTGCCACGACGACGACGACGATGATGATGATGATGATAATAATATAAAAGGTTAAATTTTTAATTTTTAATAATTTTTTTAGGTGGGGGAAGGGGGGGCTAAGGGGGGCAAAAAAAAACTTTAGTTCAATAAAATGTTAACGGTTTGCAAATTAACCTTTCAAATTTTTTTTTTCGACGTGTAAATAGATAAATAAAAAACGAAAAAAAAAATTTGTGTATAAGCTAAACGTTTTATTTGTTTTCTCCCACACTCCCGTCCTCCAAAAAAAAAAAATTAATTTTTATGACGTAATAAAACACGAGAAATAAAAATTTTTTATCAAAATGGCGGATGAATCGAATCATTTTATTAAATGTAAGAAATAAACGTGAAGAAAAAAGAAAAAAAATCGCAAAGTTTTCGGTTTGTTAGTAAACAATCGAGCGGGGGGGTAGGGAGGTAGAGGGTTGGATGGAGAGCGGGAAAGTAAGGAAGGAGAATCACGAGAGTGGAGAGGAGAGGTGGGAATTTAATATCCGACGTCACGTTTGAAAAAAATTTTTTTTTTTGTTTGTAAACGTTCGAGCGGGGGATCGGGGGGGAGGATTGGAAAATGAATGAACGAAGTGTGGGGGTGAGAAGGTGGAAATTTAATATTTGACGTCACGTTTAAAAAAAAATGGGAGAGGGTAGGGGGGTGGCAAAAGGAATATGCATATGTTTTTTAATATTTTAGATTTTAATGTAAAATTTAATCTCGAAGCTTTCCCTTTATAAAAAAAAAAAAAAAAAACGTGGAAAGTACACAGCATGAATCTAAAACCACGACAAAAGCTTTTGCTTGACTAAAGGTTTTTTTTTTCGTATAAAATTAAACCGTGCAAAAAAAAAAACAGAAAAAACAGAAAAAAGGGAAAACATTGGCATTTTTTTTCCGAAGCGTTTATCGAGTTAGATTTATTTTATTTATTTTTTTTTAAGAGAGGGAAGAGGGAGGGAGAGAGGCTAGGGGTTTGTTAGAATCAAGAGATTGAGGTTAAATTGGAAGGGGGATTGGAAAAACGTGGGAGAGGGGGTAAGAGTTTGTTTAAAAAAAAAAAAACCGCAACAAAGATTACAACAAACAATTTAATTGGCTTTGAGTTTCTTTTGATTTAGAGTTTTTATGTTACCCCCGACCCCATCCTTTTTCCCCCTTTCTCCCTCTCTCTCTCTATCTTTATCTGTTCCATAAAAGAATAAGGTATAAAGCTTTGAGAAAGGATTGAAGCTTTTGTTGTTCGAATGAAATTTTTTTTTTTAAAAATACATTTAAAAGCTTCTCTCATTGGATTTAACTTTAAATTTGTTTACTTTCTTTTTTTATTAAATTGAAAAGTAGAAAAAATGGCCTAATGATTAATTTATAACAAAAAAAAAAAATTTTAAGGATATTATCCATTTTTTCTTTTTTTCTCTATACGGTAGCCATTTTCCTTTTTTCCTTTTTTTTCCTTTTGGCCTTTTTCAAGATTTAAAACAAAAAAAAAAAAAAAAAGAAAACCTTTTATTCTATTATTTGAAAAATCGGAATTGTCAACAAAAGCGATCTCATTATTTCCTCTCTCTCTCCCTCCCTCCCTCTCCCTCTCTTTCTATCTCTCTCTCTATCTCTCTGTGTTCATTCAATCGTAAAAATTTTCTATTAAAAAAAAAAAGAAAAAAAAATAATTTTATTTTTTTTTACCTTCTTCCACGTTAACCTGTTAAGGTTTTTAATCAACCTTTTTACTCGTTGCACGTCGTTTACTTTCAACAATCCCCGGAGGTTCTTCGCTTCCTTTTAAAATTTTTCCTTTTTCCTTCTTCATTCCTCTCTCTATCTCTCTCCCTCATAAAAAATTCAGGGCGTTACGCAATGAAACCTGAAAAAAAAGACGAAATCTTAGGTACGATTGCATAATCATTATCATTTTCATCATTTTTTTGTAAAAATCTCTTTCGTAATAATTTTATTATTATTATTATTATTATTATTATTATTTTATTCCATTTTTAAAAATCTTATCAAAAAGAATAATAAAAGGAAAAGTAAAAGGAAAAAAATGAATGGTATATCGAAGGTAGATCAAAGGATTACATCGAGTGACGTCATAGAAAAAAAAAAATTTTATATACATTTGTTTTTCGTTTGAATTTTTTAGGCGCGCGTTTATCGCGACGTGACGTCATAATTTTAAAACGATTTTCTTTATATGTAAATAAATTATTTACGTGGAAATAACAAAAAAAAAAAAATAATAATTTACTAAATCCACGACTAAAATTAAAAAAAAAAAAAAAAAAAATTATTTATTTACTGATGTTTTTTTTTTAAGGCGCCGATTTCCGGATTTTGGGAAAGATGGAGAGATGAAGGAAGGGTGGGAGGGGGGAAAAGTTTTTTTTTCCCTCCCCAAACGGAAATTAAAGTAAAAAAAAAAATAAAAAACATTTTAAAAAGTCGAATCCGTCGAAATAGAAAAAAAAAGGATTTTTTTTTTAAAACCGAAAGCTTAAATAATGTTCCAGAACAAAAACATTTTTTTTTGTTTCTTAAATTCCAGGATTCCCAAAAAAAAAAAACAGAAGAAAACTTTTTTAATTTTTTTTTCCGAATTCACATATAAGTAATAATAATAATAATAATAATAATAATAATAATAATAATAATATTTAGGGAAAGGTATTTAAATAGGGGGAACATTTTTTTTTTGTGTGTTTGAAAACTACTATTTACGAATAGGTGACAAGATAAACATGTAAAAGATTTTGGATGTCGGCTTTTTTACGACGTTGACAAATTTAAATTTTTTTTCATCGAATGAAAAGGAGGAAACATGACGAAAAAATATTGGAAACAAGACGAATTTTAAATTTTCCCTCCATTTTTTTCTTTTTAATTAAAATTCATTTCCTTCCGCCGGATGATTTATTTTGCACAGAAAAAATTTATTTTTTTTTTTTTGTTAATTCCTGTTGCGAATATAACGAACGTACCTTTTCCAGACGACGTGTTTATTACGTGTCAGGTACTAACGACGATGACGTCATCATTCGTTAAAATTAAAAAAATTCTTCTGCTTCTACTCCCACTTTTCTGCATATTTGTAATGAAATAATTAATTTTTACGTCGAAAACTTTTTTTTTTTGTAATAAAAAATGTTGATAATTAAATTAATTTGAAGAAGAGATGAACGTGTAATTAATTACTGCTACTGCTACTACTAGTTACACGTGTTGTCACGAAAGAAAAAAAATGGAGGGGGAGAGGAGGGAAAGGAGAGTGAGAAAAGAATTTTTTTTTTTTTGTTGAAAGTCCCGATCGTTCGTCAAATTTTGTTAAAAATTGTTTTTAACGTGAAAATTAAATTTTTTAGTGATGAGAAAAGAGGGAGAGGGAAGGGGGAAAGGGGGGAGTGTGAAAGGAGTGGCCGAAGATTCGAGAAAAATTTTTTTTTATTTTTTTTTACTGATTTTTCGTTTGGGAATCTGAAAAATTATCATTCGAGAGGGAAAAAATTTTTTTTTTTACGAGCGTAACGAAAGGTTCAAATGAAAAAAAAAAAAAAAAAACGTGGAAGTAGAATATTAATATGATCAATTATCTTACTTTTTTTTCTTTCTATTTAATTACAGTTGCTCCTCAGTGGCCACGTATCGAAGTTAACAGTACAACAATATCTCCTGGAAACAATATAAGTTCAGACATTGGAAAAACAATCACGGTTAAATGTTTGAGTCGTTATGGAAATCCTCCAGCGAGACTTAAATGGTTTTTAGGTAGTAAATTTTTACTTTTTACCTTTTTTTTCTGGAATGGTAAAAATAGATTGATATTAAAATATTTAATAAATGACCATTGCATTTAAAAAAAAAAAAAACTTTTCTGGAGAAACTGGAACACAACAAACAAAAGAAAATATATGAAAAAAGATTTTAAATTAATTTCAATATTTTTTTTATTTTTTTTAATGAAAGAATTTTCTAGGAATTTTCCTTTTTTTAAAGTTATAGTTCGATAAAAAAAGGATGGGGAAGGGGGAGGGGAAGGGGGAAGAGAGGAACCCAAAAGGAAAAACCGGATATTTTAAAAATTGTAAAAAAAAATACAAAAAAAAAATGGCGGAAAATCTTTTTTGTTTTTAAATAAATATTTCTCTTTAGTTAAAAAAATCTGGAATTTCCTTGATAAGTTTTTGTGGGGGGGAGGGAGAGCACGGGGGGGGGGGCTTTAAACAAATGATGAAATGTTAAAAGACAAATTATCCAAAAAAAAAAAAAAAAAGGAAAAAAAAGTCTGGAGTTTTTCTTCAAGCGAATTATATAAATAATTCATGAATCGAATTTTTTTTTCTTTTCTCCAGTAAAAAAAAATAAAATTTTTCTCCAGTACAAAAACCAAAAAAAAAACCGAAAAAACATACAAAATAATTTTTTAAATTAAAAATTTTTTTTTTTTTCAATCATCGAATAAAAAAATTTTTTTTTTTAACGTGGCATCAGACAAAATAAATAAATAGATAAAATTTTTTTTTCCAGTTTTCCAGGTTGTTCCCCTTCCCTCCCCTCGATTAAAATTAATTTGTGAATAAAGAATAATAATAATTTATTTATTTATTTATTTCTCAAGGGGATAAGGAACTTTTGGTCGGAAGTAAACAAACAAACGTACCGGAAGTTGATAATAATCGCACGTGGGTTGCAACATCCTTATTAGACATTGTCTACACGAAAGATTTATATGGTCGTACTCTGAGATGCGTCGCATTACATAAATCATATCCGAAAGAATCTCAGGAAGTTCAAGTTCGATTGGATGTTAAATGTAAGTAGTGCCTTTTAAAATCTAAAATACATTAATAAATAAATAAGTGACGTCATACTTTTCAATTAATAATAATAATAATAATAATAATAATTTAAACCGGTTGATGTTAATAATTGATCTTACGTCTTAGTTTTTTTTTCTTTTTTTTTCCTTCTTCCTCCATTTTTAATAATTTTTTATTATTATTTTTTTTTTTCTTTTCTTTTTCTTTCTTCCTTTTCTTCCTTTTCTTCTGCTTCTTTTTCTTTTTCTTCTTCCACTTCAAGTTTCAAACATTTTTCATAGACGTCAAAATTTTTTTCTTTTTTAACTTGACATTCTGTCTAATTTAAACTTTTTTTTTTTTTTTTTAATGACTCAAAATTCAGTTTCGTCTTCTTTCTTTGATCCCTTTCTTCCTCTCTCCCCTTCTTTTTTTTTTTAAACCTTATTAAATAAAAAAAAAAAAAAAAGAAAAGTGAAAAAGTTAAAATGGGAAAAAGTGAATTGAAAAATAACTGACGTTTAATAAAAGATGGCGGTGAAATAAAAAAAATAAAAAAAAAAATTATGGAGTGGATAATGGAAAAATTATTATTATTATTATTATTATTTTTTTTTTTTGTTTGTTTGTTTGTTTGATTTAAATTTTTAAATGGAGATTAAAAATTAAACGATTAAAAATTCTTTTTGAGTTTGATGAATGAATGAATGAATGGATCGACGTTTGATTTGAAGGCGGGAAATGTGAGGGGGAGGCGGGAGGGGAGAGTAGGTAGGGGGAGGATGGAAAGTTTTACCGGAAGTGTTTTTTTTTTTTTTGTTATCATTCAATTAAAAAAAAAAATAAAAACGAAACGCGAGCGAGGAGGGATAAAGAAAAAAAAATTTTAATTTTCTTCCACGAATTCAAATTTACCAGAGTTCAAAGAACAAAAATTCACGACTGGCAAGTGTGCGTGCATGCGTGCGTACGTGCGTGCTCGCGTTCGTTTTTTTTTTTTTTTTTTGATACCTTTTGATATCCCCTCAGGTGTTTTGCGGAGGGAGGACAACAAAAAAAAAATTCAAAGGAAAATCTCGTTATGGAGAAAAAAAAAAAATTACCCGGAAGCTGTTTTTCTTTTTTTTTTTTTATATCATTCTCCAGCTTATTTTTAATCATTATTATCATCATTATCATTATTATTATTATTTATTAAATTTTTTATTATTTTAAAAGCGGATGTATTTTTTTTTTATATACATACACTCGGAGAAGTTTCATTTTATTTATTATTACTATTATTATTTTAACCAATGACGAACGTCAATCATAAATTCCGGAAGTGACTTTATATATTTACGATAAAATAAAAAATAATAATGATAATAATTTTTTTTTTTTTTTGGTAAAATCGCTTTGTTTGCTTTTTGTTTTTATGTTTTTTTTGGCTGAATTAGTTGTCGGTTGTTTGTTGCGTGGGTGCGTGCGTGCTGGCGTTTGTACATATATAAATTTATATAATGGGAGTCGTCTGGAGCGTATCGTCGTTTGTTGGCTATTGTTTTTTTTTCCATCATCATTATTATTATTATTATTTAAATTTACGACACGAAAAAACTGGTGTAAAATTTACGAGAGAGTGGGGAGAGAGAGAGTGGAATCGGGGGGGAGGATTTTTTGTAACAATCTACCGTGAATAATGATAACGAATGATTCGCGTTTCTTTTTTTTTTTTTTTTTGTTAAATGAAAGACCAACAAACAACTCGAACGAGTAATAATAATGATAATAATAATAATAATAATAATAATAATAAATAAATAAATAAATAAAAGCGCGGGAGATTCAAATGAGGAAGAAAATAAAAAATGAAAAAAAAAAATTTAACGGTATTATAAATTTCAAAAAAAAACAAACAAAAACAAAAAATTTAACGGAAATTGCTTCTGCTGATGCTGCTTCTACTGCTGTCGTCATCGTTATTATTATTATTATTATTATTATTATTATTTGTTTATTATCATGTGTGTGATTTTTTATGTTAAAAAAAAAAAAAATTATTATTGAGAGGCTGTTTCGATGATTAAAAAATACTTTTAAAAAAAAAATAATAAAAAAAAATGTATCGTGGAATTAGACTAATCGATTATCGGTTTATATATATATGAACGATAAAGTTCTTATCATTTAATCGATACTAAAAAAAAAAAAACCGTTATTGAATATTAATAAGTGAAATTTCCTTCGAGCGTATATCAATAATTAATTTTGCAATGTTTTGATATTTGAATGACTCCCAAAGAGCTTTCTCTCTCTCTCTCTTTACCTTTCTCTCTTTCTCTCACTCTCTCTCTTTCCCTTCTTATTTTATTTTATTTTTTTCAATCCTTTTTACTTTCTTCTCCTCCTTAGTAAATTTTTATTTTTTTTTCATTTGATTGCTTTGCTCGCTTTTTCTTGTTTTTTTTTTTTTTTTTAAATTAAATTTTTGACGTTTGATGTTTTTCCTTTCCCCTCTCTCTCTTTCTCTCCTTCCTTTCATTCTTTTTTTCCTCTTCATTTATTTCACTTTTTTTTTTTTAAAATGTTCCAGGTGTTTTTTCCAGAATTTCCAATTAACTTTCTTTTCTTTTTTTTTTTTTATTTCTTTTTTTAATGAATTATTTTTATTTTATTTTACATTTGAAATTAAAAAAAAAATAATAATAATAATAAAAAGGTATTTTTTTTTTTTAAATGATACGTCAAAACCAAACAAAAAGTTTAAAATATTGATAATGATAATAAAATTTTTCCCGTTTGTTTTTTTATTTTATTTTTACCATCCGTGTACGAGTAATTGCGTGGCATCCAATTCCGGGTCTTCCATTTTTTTTTTATCACTCTTAATATTATTATGTATTATTTCTTCCCAAAATTTCATGACGTTTAATTTTAAACTGTTGGATGCTGTTAAATTACTTCCGATGTCTAAATATTCTTGAGTTTCATCCGTGAATGGATTCCATTTTGTGTCAACGAATTCATCCAACTCCGGAGTCGGATCCCTTTTAATAATAAAAAAATAAATAAATGGGGGAGAAAGGGGGAGAGAAAAACTTTCTTCATTTACACACACACACTCACCCCGTTTTAGCAAAATTCGTCCACATTTTTGTCATTTTTTCAACCATGATTTCATCTTCGGGTAATGCGCTCGTCGTTTCGTATCTTTGCTTTCCACAATTCTTATGAAAATCCGGAGTGTAAAATAAATATCCCAATTCATCCGCGTGCGAAACTCCAGTAACGTTTTCCATATTTGCAGAAGCTTTGTAAACTGCGTAACCGCCATCGTATGTAAAATGATAATTGTAAACCGGATGTGACGAATGTTTTGCCATTAAACTTGTTGCCAATTGTATGGGTAATATGAAATTGACGTCACCGATAAGCTGTGAAATATTTTTTTTTTAAATTAAAATTCTCCAGCAAGCAACTTGTCACCGGAGGAGGGAGGGGGCCAAAAAAAAAATTATTTCATTTTCTGTTATTATTATTATTAATAAATAATTGATTGGTTTTAATTATTCTTTATGACGTAATAATTTAAAAAAAAAAAAAGGCGAATCGAATTAATCATGTAATAAATAACATTGTTTGTTTATCCCTCTCTCTCTCTCTTTCTCTTTCTCTTTCTCTTTCTCTCACTCACTCACCTCTAAAACTTTGAACGTTTGCTGATGGTTGACTAATTTATTATTAAAGTAAAATTTGGATATTGCTTCGTGGACTTTTATGGCTGGAATCGAAAGAGGTTTCAAATTTAACTGAGTCGGTGCGAGACGTGATAAATCCATGCCGAGTAACGTCAACAACAAACCGGACAAACTCTTGTCGTTAAAAACTGAAAGGACATATATGCGAGTATGCATTTTATAGAATTAAAAACTTTTTGACACAAAGTGACGTCATTAAATTTAAAACTTACCTGGATAAACTAAAAGTCCTTCGTCTGAATTTGAACCGATTATTACTGGAACTTTTGTGAAATTTCCAAAAAACATTAAATTAAATGGATCTTCGGTAAGGAAAGCTCCAGTCACGTTCGGTTCCTTTGTCGGTTCGAACGCGATGACGTCCATGCTCGTCAAATCCTAATTTAATTAATTAATAAATTAAATTTTATCCGTGAAAATCGAGATTAATTTTAAATAATGATGATGATGGTACCTGAACGCCTAATATTTGCTGTTGTTTTTCAGCCAAAACTTCCGCTGTCACGTTTTGCAAGCACAATAATAATTTCGTTGAATTCTTCGCTTTGCATTTTAAACTGTCTCCTAATTTTTTAGCTTTTTTAAGAGCGGCTTCCGGTTTCGAGTATGCCCACGATGAGAGAACGGTTCCGCTGTCCATAATTGCACTTCTGAACAAACCTGAATAAAAAAAAAATTACCATATATATTTTAAATAACCCAAAAAACTGTCATCGACCGTTTTACGACCGGTTCTGATTTTTTTTTTCTTTTTAACCTTGGGATTCTTTCGATAAAAGATGATAATTAACGGAAGCGGATCCCGCGCTTTCTCCAAAAATAGTTATCTTATCGGGATCACCGCCGAAAGCTTGAATATTATTTTTAACCCATTTCAAAGCCAAATTTTGATCTTTGAGACCTGCGTTACCCGACACTTCGGAATTTTGCAAACTCAAAAAACCTAAAAAAAAAAAAAAAAGTCAGAGATTTTTATTTCCCTTTTACAAGCCCGTCGAAAAGAAAAAATTATCATTATTATTATTTATTATTTACCGAAAGCTCCCAAACGGTAATTAATTGTAACGACGACGACGTCTTTTTCAATTAGAAAATCCGGTGCGTTTATGCTTTCGTAACTGCTCCCGCTTAAAAAAGCTCCCCCGTGTATGTAAACCATGACGGATTTTAAATTTTCATTTTTATTTTTTAAAAATTTCAAATTCGGTGTGTAAACGTTTAAAAACAAACAATCCTCGCTGAAATCTTCTTTTAATTCTTTCGATACGGAATTAAATGATCCCTGCATGCATCCCGGTCTCTGATACGTCGCATTATACACGCCCTCCCAATTTCCTTTTTCTACCGGATTCTGCAAAAAAAATCATCATTATTATCATCATCATTATCATCGTCATCATCATCAACATCATCATCACCATCATCATCCGCCCTTTTTCCACAAAATTTAATGACGTCACACGCAAACGAACACAAATAATATATATAAATAAAAATTATTATCATCATCACAATATGTCAAAATCCTACCTTGAATCTCAGGTTTCCGACGGGAGGTTCGGCATACGGAATCCCACGAAATCCAGCAAAATCCTTTTCCAACCTGCAACTCCTTCCTAGAAAACCTTTTACGACGCCATTTTTAGTTTCCACTTGTAAATATTTCTCGTTGAAAAAACCATAAAATTCATTTTTCGTTATTATTTTATAACCGTTTAAATATTGAACCGGAAATGATAAAGTCAGAAAGGTGAAAAAAACAAAAAACGTTTGAGTTTTTTTCATTTTGAAAATTCGCGCCAAACAACGACGACGAATTTAATAATAATAATAACACAATCGTTAAAATTTGGTTGTTGTTGTTGTTGTTGTCGTCGTCGTACGAGTAACGTTTAACAATTTCCGTTTTAATAAATTTTTAATGCTTTTATATAGTTTTTTAAATACCCCCCCAAAAAAAAAACTTGGGAAAATGATTCCGCGTAAGATAAGATTGTGGGCATTAAACCTGATTTAAACGTTGTATTAACATTTAAGTCATTGTCAAGTGCAAGGAAACGATCATCATCATCATCATCATCATCAAGGTAATTAAATAATAATAATAATAATAATAAAACGATAAGAATTTTTATTATAAACAAAATAGTAAGTACGAGTTATATTCGGTAGATAAAATTTTCCTTAAAAAGAAAATCCTGTGGGTTCAATTTTTAAACAAAAATTTGTGCGTAGTTAAAGTGTAAAAACAAAATGGCGGATATTATTATTTAAAATAAGCTTTTAAGCTTCAAAAAAAAACAATTCCTTTTTTTTTTTATAACGTTACATTTTTAATTATTCGGCTTAAAAAAAAAAAAAAAAAACTCGTAATCGTTTAACTTCAGACATTTCCTTTCGAGATATCGATTAAACCCCATAATAATAATAATTATAATAATAATAAATAAATGCGGAAAAAATTATTTTTTCTCCTCTAGAAGAGAGTGAGTAAGTGAGGGAGTGGGGAAGAGAGAGAGAGAGAAAAAGGATTTTATGATCAAAAGTTAGCAAATTGCCAGATTAAAAGGCTTGAAAAAAAAAAAAAAGACTTTTTATAAACTTTCTTGCTAAAAAAAAAGGAAAAAGGAAAAAAAGGAAAAAAAGGAAAGAAAAAATTACGTTTATCAGAATCGTTTAACCTTTTCAAAATCTTTTTAATAAAAATCTTATTTCTGAGCCTTCTTATTTTATTTTTCTTTTTTTTTTTTTTATATAAAACCTTTCGGTTATTTTTACTAAAAAAAAAAAAAGAAATTTCTAGAAGAAAAACTGATGGGAAAAGTTTCGAAGTGAAACAAAGGAGGAGGGGAGGAAAGAGAGAGGGAAGAAAGGGAAGGGAAGAGAAGAGAAAAAAAACTTTGAAAAAAAGATGAAAATTTCCAAAGAAGAAGAAGAAGAAAAAAAACTACTACTATTATTATTATTATTTTAAATTCTTAATCGAATTTCATCGTTTAAAAAAATTTTTTAGTCAAATTAAATCTAAGAATTTTCATTGGATTTCAATTCCGTTGTTATTATTATTATTATTTTGTTTTCCAGTAAAAAAAAAAAAATTGGAATTAAATATTCGTTTTTTTTTTGTCGGTTGGTTGTTGTTGTTGTTGACGATTTAAAAAAAAAAAAATTTGAATTTGAAATTGGAAAAAAAAAACTTTTCAAAGTCAAAATTTCGATTTCTTTTTTTGTTTTTTATTAATATTTAAAAATTTTCCTGTCTTGACTAAAATATTTTTGGCGCCAAAATTGTTTTTTTTGAAAAATAAGAAAAAAAAAAGAAAAACAATTTCCCCGAATTTCTTTGTTCGATCTCTCGTTTGTTTTATCGTAGTCGTGCAAATTATTATTATTTTAAAAAAAAAAAAGAAAAAAAAGTCGTGGTAGGAGACAAATATATTTTTTTTTTTTTTCAACAGACGCTCCCGAAGTTCGAATAGAAGGAATACCGACGACGGATTTAGAAGAAGGTAGAGATACCGTAGTATTAAGATGCATCGTGGATTCAAATCCACCGTCTGTCGTACGTTGGAAAATCGGTGAACAAAGAATCGTGAGCACTATTGACACGTTACAATTTCGTCCAGTTAAAAGAAGGGATTCGGGATCATATTATTGCGAAGCTGAAAACACAGTCGGTACGAGTAATCCATTATCAGTCGTCATAGATGTTAAATGTAAGTTAAAAATAAATAATCCGTGGATTTATTTTTTTTTTCGGATTATACGCTTTTAATCCAAATAATAATGATAACGTTACTTAATTCGTCACCGACTTAATAATAATAATAATTTTTTTTTTTTTTTTTTCAAAAGATCCACCCAGAATTCGTAAAGTGGGTCCAACGAGATTAATAACAGCGCCGCTTTATTCGGAAGCAACGTTTAGTTGCGAAGCCGAAGGTAATCCTCCACCAGGTTATCAGTGGTTGCAGAAAGTTCCGTCGGCTGGTGACACGCTTTTCACGAGGGGTTCCGAAGCCAAATTAAAAATATTTAACATAACCTACGACTATCAGGGTGAATACATTTGTAGGGTATCGAATAACATCGGAGGAACGGAAAGAAACGTCGACAGCGAACCAATAACGATACAAGTTGTCGGTAAGTTAACCAACCAATTTTAAATTTTCCCGCCAAAAATTGAATTAAAAAAAATATGAAACCATTTCCGTTTTACGTTTTTTAAAGGGATGAAAATTTACCGTAATCATCGTCATTTGTTTCAAAACGTTATTAAAATGAGAAATTTTTTTTTCTTTTTTTTTTTTATTTAAATAAAAAGCTAACAAAAAAAAAAAATAATAATAATAATAATTTTTGGCAACGTGACGAAGATTTTCGTTTTATTTCCTGACGATTTCCCCCCCCCCTCCCCCGCTTTTTATTTAAATAAATTTTTTTTGTTTTATTATTCTTGAGATTTTTTTTTTTTTGGTAATGATTCAAAATGGCGGATCGAAGTAAAAATAAATAAATAAAAAAAATGGAAATTTCCGAGTGCCGAATATTTGCCGGAGACATTTTGTTTTCTCCACTACCCCCTCCCCCTTCTTCTCCCCCGAATTTTTATCCTATCCGTAAAAAAACCTGGGAAAAAAAATTTTTTTCCTTTTTTTTTACATTTCGACAAACAAACAAAAAAAAATGTCCGAACTTTTGTTCGGTCCGAAATTTTTTTTTTTGCCACTTCATTTATTTCCGGTTCCTTTTTTTTCCTTTTATTTAATAATAATAATAATATTTTAAGAAGTGGAACATAAATGTTTGATGTGATTTATGGCACGTTTTCCATTTTTTTTTTTTTTTTTATTATTTTTACGTTCAATGAAAAAAAATAATAAGAAAGTAATAAAAAGTTTATTGCTGACGTTTAAAGAGTTCCTTGCATTTGACAACCAATTTAAACATTAAGTATAAGCGAAAAATTTTGACGTGGAAATAACTTTTTCAAGTTATTTTTTCCTTTTTTTCCTTTTTGCGGTTTTTTCCTTTGTTTTTTCATTCTTATCATAAAATTTTATCACGTAAAAAATTAATCAACGAAAAAAAGTCTGGAGGAAAAAAAAAAAACAAAAAAAATTTTAAAGTTAATTAATAATTATTCTAATGACACTTTGAAATTTTTATTAAAATTATTATCGTTGTTGTTTTTTATCGATTAGGAGCACCTCAAGTTTTAAGACATGCCGGTACTAGAGAAGTACTTGCCGTGAGGGGGGAAGAAGCACTTTTGAAATTAATCGTGTGTGCGGATCCCCGACCTAGGAGAGCAATTTGGGAATGGGGATCGGAATTTGTGGAAGCTGGAAAACCCAATGGAAGGTATCAAGCCGAATTAATAGACGATGAGAGGGAAGACTGCTACGAAGCTCGACTTAGAGTTCAAGATGTCGAACCATCCGATTCTAGAAGTTACTATTTAGCAGTAGAAAATGATAAAGGAACGGATAGGCATTCTGTTCATCTTATCGTCAGGGGTGAGTTTTATTATTATTATTATCAAAAGGCCATGTTTTTTTTTTTGCATGCAATTCCGAAACGCTGCCAACACCACCACCGCCGCCGCCGCCCCCTTTTCATTTTCCCCTCTACCGAAACCTTTTTATAGAATTTCGAAACTGGAAAACAGAGAAAATAGCAGAGTTAAGAGAAAATAAAAATAAAAAAATTTCCCAAAGTTTTTTTTTTACCCTCGTAAATAAAATAATAATAATAATTTTTACATTACGTGCGATTGATTTCTTTAAAAAAAAAAAAAAAAACTTTTAGTTTTGTTTCGAAAAAAAAAATTTCCCATAACATTTTCCGGAAAAACAAAAAACAGGAAACGAATGATAAATAATGTCGAAAATATTATAAAAATAACTCTATCAATTTTTTTTGTTTGCTGTTGCTGTTGCTGCTGTTCCTTTTAAATCTACGTAAGATTATTTTAAATTTATGCTTTTACGCAACAGAAAAAAAAATAGGAAAACAAAACGAACAGGAAAATGAGAGAGAGGGAAAGAGAGGAAGAGAAAGAAGAAAAGCGTGAAAAAAAAAATTTATATATATATAGAAAAGGGTTTAAAAAAAAAAAGAGAGAAAGAGAGAGAGGAAAGGAAGTAAAAGCTTTTTGGTATTTACTCCGTAACGACTTTTCTTTTTCTTTTCTCATAAAAATTTTTCCGTACCTGAAAATAAACGGAAACGAAAAAAAAAAATTATTTTACCTCATTCGATTTTTTTTTCCGAGTCTCGTTTTCGTTACTTCTCATTTCATTTATTATCATTATTATCATCGTTATCGTTATTATCATTATTATTTTTTCTCTCTTTTGTTTTTTTTTTTGTTTCCAACTTTTATTTTTCTCCAGTTGATTATAAGCGAACGACTCCTTCATTTTACTCTTCATTTTTTTTTTCCATCCTCACTTTATTATCTTCTTTTTACCTTTACCATCTTTTTCTTTTCCATCTTCTCCTCCTTCATCTTCTCCATCTCCCTATTCTCCTTCATTTTTTTTCCTTCTCCTTCTCCTCCTCCATCCTCTTTCCCTTCTCCATCTTTTTTTCCTTCTTATTCTTCTTCTCCGTCTCCATCTTTTTTCCTTCTTCTTCTCTTTCATCTTCTTCTTCTTCTCCATCTTTTCCTTCTCTTTATTCTTCCCCTACTTCTCCTCCTTCTCCATTTTAAAAAATATTCATGTCTAACAAAAAAGAAAAAAGAAAATTCAAAATTCAAAATTATTCAAATAAATAATAATAATAATAATAATGATAATAATAATAATAATGATGATGATGATGATGATGATGATGATGATGATGATGATGATGATGATGACGTAAAAAGGAGTAGAAAGAAATTTTTTTTTTTTTTTTTGTTGAAAAATCATACATACGAAAAAGGAAAAATATTATACCGTAAATAAAATGAAATAATTTTAATAATAATAATAATAATAATAATAATAATAATAATAATAATAATAATAATAATAATAAGTCATGCATAAGTTTGATATGAATGCATTTAAAAAAATTTTTTTATTTTTTTTGTTTGAAACTTTAAACGTAAAAATAAGAGAAAATTTTTAATTTAAAAAAAAAAAGCGAAAAAATTTAAATTCAAAAACTTTAAAAATTTTTTTTTTAAATTTTTTCGGTTGGATGGTTAGTTTAGTTAAAGAGTTAGTCAGTTAGTTAGTTAGTTGTTTAGTTATTCAACGATAAAAGTGGTTAATTATCTTAATTACGTTAACTTTTATTATACTTATATGAATTTAAAAAAAACAAACAAACAAACGCTAAGTAAAAAACTTTAAAATTTAAAAAAAAATTATAATAAATCGTTTGAATTGAATTTAATAAAAATACAAAACAATTTCCGTTTCCGATTTTTTTTTTCAAAATGGCGGTGAATTTTAAATATGACGTCATTATTCGAAATAATTGTTTTTTTTTGACGGGGAAAATTAAATAAAAAAAAAAATGAACGGCCATTTTTTTAAATGAGAAAAAAAAAGGTAAAAAGGTTTTAATTTCCGGTTAACTTATGTTTTTGTAAAGGTGGTAAAAAAATGTGGGGAGTATGTGGGGGGTTCGCAGGGTGAGGGAAACGGGGGGATAAAAATTTCAAAACGTATTAAAACAATTGAATTTTGAGAAGAAAAAAAAGTATCCATTTTTTTTTTTTTAATAAATTTGGAAAATGGAATCGAATTTTCTTTTTTTTTACCGAGGGGAGAGGAGGGGGAAATAAAGTTACCGATCGTTTTTTTTTCTTAAAAATCAGATTTTTCATTTAACGAAAAAAAAAAAAACTGACGAGATGTACCTGACGGAAAATGTGAGTAAAAGTTACACGGGAAATATTTTGCAATATAACAACGACAGGAGCAGAGAGCGGAGAGAGAGAGAAGCAGAAGGAAAAAGGAAAAAGCAGACGAAATTTTTTTTTTTAAAACTCGTCTAAAACTTTTATAACCGTCACATTACGTTTTTCTCCCTGAGATGAAATAAAGGGAAGAAATGAAAGGCGGAGGTGAAGCGGGCGCGGGAAAATTCTGAGGGAAAAAAAAAACGAAAAACCCTGAGAAAAGAAATGAAAAATAAAAGGTTGAAAATTTTGTAAAAGGAAAGTTTTTTTTTCTTTCCTCCCCCGTAAAACAATTAAGCCTCTTTTTCTATCTCTTCCTGTCCTTCTCCCCCTCTCCACCGATCTCCTTTCTCTTCCAAGATTTTCCCTTTTTGAAAAATTTTTTTTTTCCAACTTCCCCTAATCAATTACGAGCCGTGTGCGTGTGCGAGTTTCCCTTTCCTTTTTTTCTCCCACGTGACACTTTGGCTCGATTCCATTTTTAAAAAACAAAATCGACGTTTTTTCTGTCCCCCTCCTCCCTAAAAAAAAAAAAAAAATTCGGTTTTTTCTTTCATACCCTTCAGTTAGTTCTAATGTAAATATTATGTAAATAAAATCATCATGGATAATTATCCGGATAAAATTTTTAAAAGTTAAACCTCCCCAAAAAAAAACTAACTAAAAAATTAATCAATAAAAAATCGTCTTCCATCGTGGTAAAAAAAATTTTTTTTTTTTGGGGGGGAAGGACGAAAGGAAAAATTTCCTCTTTAACCCCTCCTGACCTCACGGCCGACCTACTAAAAAAAAATTAATAAAATTTAAAGTCGGATTCGATAATAAAGACGACCCTCGAGAATTTTCTCCCCGGGGGGAAGTGGTGAGGAGGAGGTGGGAAGGTATGGGGAGAGAGGTAGGAGACGGGGAGGGGGTAAGGAGTAGTGGTGGTGGTGGGAACGAAAACTTTGAATTTTCATCCGTCAGTTTTTGTTTTTTTTTTCCACGTAACCATTTTTCCTGGATGCGCACAGCCCGCCCGCGCCCACGCCCACCCCGCCATTGAATGACGTATACATTTATATTTCAAAATGCCTATTGGGTATTGTTTCATTATTACCTTTGTTTTGTTTCCATTTAATTAACGTCCTTTGATTGCGTATTTATATATATATTTTTTTTCGTTTTCCTCCCTAAAGAATTTTCCTTTGCTTACACAATCGCTTTCCACTTTTGCTTATTCGCTTCTTTTTTTCTCCTATTCTCCTTTGCACTATTCTTACATTGTCGCTTTTTTTTTATTATTCCTTTGAATTTTTCTATAATCCTTAGAGATTTTCTTGTGTGCGTTTGTACGCGCGTGTATGTGTGAGTGTGCGTGTGCGTGAGTTTTCAATTCCCCCCCCTTTTTTATTTTATTATATTTGATTTTCAATTTCTTTCTTTTGTAAATTAAATTTTTTTTTTTTTTTGTGAAATGAAAACTTTAAATCGATTTATCGAATATTTTTCCTCCATTTTTTTTTTGTTTTTTTTTTAATTCCAGAGCCAATGTGGACAACCACGCTTCTGAGCATGATGCACCATGGTACGTAGCTTTATCTCTCTCACCTTACACACACTCACTCACACACATTTTGCGCTTATGTAATAAATTAATTAATAACGTACCTTATTAATTTAAATATCAATTTATAATTAAATCTTCGATTATTATCACTGTTATCAATTTTTTTTTTTTTTTTACAGAACCTGTACCTATGACGACGTTAATAAGTATCGCCGCAGGATGCCTCCTTATATTTATATTTTGCGTTTTCATCGCAATTTATGTCGTCAGAAGAGAAAAATGTTGTTTTGCCAGTACGTTTCCCTTGTTTGTTTTTGTTTGTTTATTTTCATTCTTTTTGTCGAATCAATAATTTTTTTTTTTTTTTTTACTTATAAATGTGTTAATAGTTAAATTTTATTCATACGTTTTATTTATTCATTTATTTTTATTTATTAATTTCAGGAAGAGGAGATTTCAGACCGACAGATTTAGAAAGGTGAGACAAAAAAATTTTTTTTTCTTTTTCTTTTTTTTTTATCTTTTTCTTAAATTCTTGATGGGGTCGTGAAATTTTTCATTTTCATTTTTCATTATTATTTTTTTTTTTTTCAATAAAAATCCCGGGCGAGAGAAAAGAAGGGTAAAGGGGGGGGAGGAAAAACGATAAAATTTATTTTTTGACATTCAATTTTACCTAAAACCTTTAATTTAAGTGGAAAAAAAAAATTAATTCTAATGAAGTGTGAATGATTAAGTAATAAAAAAATAATAATAATAATAGATTTATTAAAAACCGAATACATAATAATAATAATAATAATAATAATAATAATAATAATAATAATAAAAGCCAACGGCCATAGCGTGCTGGTCACACCGGTTCCCGTACGATCACCGAAGTTAAGCAGCATCGGGCGTGGTGCAAACTTGGATGGGTGACCGTCTGAGAACGCCACGTGCTGTTGGCTTAAAAGAGAAAAAAAAAAAAATGAGAACAAAACAAAGTAAGAACCAAAAAACAAATCTTGTTCTACTGTCGACCTGAGGCAGCTCGACGAGAACGTGAATTTCACTGCTTCTGACCCTGGCCACTCCAAAGATGTTAGTCACCGGAGCCCAGTTCAGGAGACAAATCGTTCCCATCGAAAAAGACGGACTCAGGAAGACCTTCAAGAATTGATGTGGTGCTATCTTATAATAAGTGGCACCACCGAAATTCGAGTATTTGTCCCTAAGGAATCGGGTAGAAACCTCGGATAAATACTTAAAAACTCCGACAAGTAGCCTTGTCGTGTTTAATGGTGGATAATAATAATAACAACAGTGCGGACTCATAACTATGAGAAAATAATTCTCAAAGTCCGCCAAGATGACTTGTGTCGAATTTGCCAATCGCAGTCGGAAACAATCGATCACTTAATTTCCGGTTGTCCGATATTGGCAAAACATGAATACTTAAAAAGGCACAATAAAATATGTTGATATCTCTATTAAAATATATGTCGAGAATATGGAATGGATGGATTCCCCAAGGAGTGGTACAACCACATTCCAAGCCCGGTTACGACAGTAGGTCCATGCACAGTTCTATATGATCAACAAATCCACACTGACAAAACTGTGCCAGCCAACAAACCGGATATCATCCTGAGAAGCAAAATGCGAAAAAATGGCGTAAACTAATTGAAGTATCTGTGCCGGCAAAAAAAACACCACAGCAAAGAAGCAGACAAAAGGCTGAAATATAGAAATTTGGAAATTGAAATAGCCAGGATGTGGGGAACAAAAACAGGAATTATTCCGGTCATCGTGGGAGCATCGGGAGGACCCGATAAAAGGAAATATAAAGAAGATTTTGAAGACTTTAAAAGAAGAAACCATCCAGGAAATCGCACTATGCAGGACGATCCACATTCTTCGGAAAATATTATAAATAGAACCAACAAAATTCGAGCATTCATTTCTAAGGAATCGGGTAGAGACCTGGAAGAAATGAACTTTAAAACTCTGACAAGTATTTAAAAGCTTTGCGTGTTCAAAAGTGAAAATAATAATAATAAGAACGGTTAAAATGAATTAAATAAGTTGACATAACGTAACTGCATGTCAACTTATTTAATTAATTTTATTTGTTTTATTTAACAATTTTGTTATAAGTTATATATCAAAAGTTTTGTAATTTATTGTAGTTTATTGTAATATAATTAGTTTTTTTTATATTATTTAGTGATAATTATAATTCTCTTAAGTTTAAATTTACAAATACCAACAGTTCATGTGACAATATGGAGGTAGTTTAATAAAAATACTTGTAATTAGCTAATTTATTATATCAGATGGATATTAAATCTCTGTACATCTGATTTTATAAGTGTAAATTTACACCTCCATTTTCTTACGATTGGTTGATACATTTTAACGTATTTTGCAATTAAAAAAATCAAACATACTCGTGATTGGTTAATTTAAAGTATAAAAATCACACCTCCGTTTTCTTATGATTGGTTGATACATTTTACCGTATTTTGCAATTAAAAAAATCAAACATACTCGTGATTGGTTAATTTAAAATAATTAATCACGACATCTTCATTTTCACTCGTGATCGGAAAAAAAAATAAACCTCTTCATTCTTATGTTTTTCTGATACATCTTAACGAATTTTCGCATCAAAAATACACCGTTTTTCGTATTTTATTTTACATCTCCTTTTTCTTATGTTTTTGGGATACATTTTAAAGTATTTTATCATTAAAAATTGTTGTGAAAATTAAAATTTTGTATCAAAATTTTACACCTACATTTTAACTCGTGATTGGTCGGTACATTTCAACGTATTTTACCATTAAAAATTGTTGTGAAAATTAAAATTTTGTATCTTTGTTTACGCCTCCGTTTTCGCTCGTGATTGGTTGATACATTTTAACGTATTTTGCGATTAAAAGAATCAAAAATAATCGTGATTGGTTGATACATTTTATTGTATTTTGCGATTTAAAAAATCAAACATACTCGTGATTGGTTAATTTAAAATAACCAATCACGACATCTCCATTTTCACTCGTGATTGAAAAAAAAACTAAACCTCTTCATTCTTATGTTTTTCTGATACATCTTAACGTATTTTACCATATTTTTAGTGTAAAATTTTAAGATTAGAAAAATTCTGAACTGCCTTCAGATTACTTAAGTTTATAGGTACAAAATTGTGATTTGCATATTGTGTGCATAAATTAAGGATGAAATGCATGAGGGAAAATTATGAAATGGGGAAATAATAGGAAAATTAAGTATTGAATTAGTTCCGAGGAAAAAGTTATATGATAACTGATTCATAATTGTAATAGAGCAAAGTGAGAACAAGATAAAAGATAGAAGAACCAAAAGGCAAATCTTGTTCTATTGTCGGCCTAAATCAGCTGAACAAGGATGTGAATCTCACTTTTCCTGTTCCTGGACACCCCACACTGGAGCCCAGAATAGGAAATAACTCGTTTCCATCAAATAAAATGGTCTCAGTGAGACTTACAAGAATTATTGTGATGACATAGATTATAACAAGATGGAACCTATCCATCAGGCATGCAGCATCAGTGATATTCAGAGATTTATCCCTTAGGGATCGGCAGGTAGAAACCTGGAATAAATGTTGAAAAAGCTCCGACGAACATTAAGACGAATTGCCGTGATTATGAGTGAAAATAATATTAAAAAATTAATAAACTTTAAAATTATAAGTTTTTATTTTAAATCATAAATTATAAAAAAAAGTTTTTTTTTGTTGACCCAGGAGAAATGCAGTTATGCACTAACCCCCCGCAGAGGGAGTGCTTGACTCAGTTTGGAGTAAAAGCCAGACCGGGGACCCATAACCACTAAAACTCCTCGGCATGTCGCAAGAGCGTAGCTCTGGGGAGGGACGCTCGTGGAAGTAAAACCGACAGTTCAATCGCCCCTCTCCGGTAGAGCCAAAACGTTAACCGTTCCACACGATTCTCTGAGGGGAGGGGATTTGCTTTAATCTTCATCACCGGCGTCACCTCGAAGATGAGAACGCATCCCCCATAGGCGATTGGCATCTCTTTCGGGACTGCCTTTCACCCTTCGCTTGGAGGAGTTGGGTAGGAAGCTCGCATGCTTTCTGAGAATGCGATCGGGAGGGGAGATTTAGAACACCAAAACTTCACCACCTACCGTCTCCACCTGACCTAAAGAATAAAAATTAACAGTTAAGTGTTAGTTGTTGGTCACATCCTCTCTAGCGATGAGGAAGACAGTAGAAGAATCGACCAGGATCATCGATCCTCAAGATAGTTGGAAAATAAGAGACATGTGACGAAGTTTGCATTTGTCGCAGTGACTCAGGATCCGCCGTCTCCTGCAGCTTTCTACGCCTTGCGAGCTCCTCGCGACCTCCCACTTTGCTGGTGAGGAACTGGAGATACGCAACTGAAAAGAGGTGAATAACTTCACCACTCCGCGTTCCTTGAAGGTAGCACAGGTCTGCGAACATCCGCTGCACTTTACCTGTCAAGAAGCTGGAATACAGGAGCACGCCACTAACTCACGCCCCCCCGATATATTACATATTTTACTAAACGGGGAAAAAATTATTATTATTATTATTATTATTTGTTTATCACTCTTTTATCCCATTTAAACGTCAAACTTTTTCAATCCTTTTAATCTTAAATAAAATAAAAGGTTTTAGTATTAATATGAAATAAAAAAAAAATAAAGTTTTTGTGAAAATTTTTTTTTTATTTTTATTTTTACAGTGAAAAAAGCGATTTGAACAGCGAAATAAATAGAAAACAACAGCCTTCGGTCATTGTAGGGTCCGGACCGGTCACGACACCAGCCGAAATAATGTACAATTCTTCACCGGGACGAAGGCCACATACGATAACAGCTCACAGTGTCGGTGGTGGTGGTGGTGGCGGCGTCGGTGGTTCGCCGGAAGCAATGAAGGTGAGGCTTGCTGCTATGGTACTACAACCACCCACCCGAGTTTAGCTACTCGATAGATTGATAGACAGCACGCCTCACTCGTTTTTCTTTTTTTTTTTTTTTCTTGTTCGTTGATTGATGTCTGCTCTTATGTTTTTTTTTTTACATCTGCACAAACTAAATGTTTTTTTTTTTTTTTATAATTTCATGTTTATTATTATTTTTTTTTCTTGTGTTTATGTTTCGGCACTGTTGTTGTTGTTTTTTTTTTTTAAATTTTAACAAAACTCCGTGCGTACACAAAATAAATAATAACAAATGAATTGATTCGGTTTTTTATACATATGATAAACATCTTAAAAGACAATAATAATGATGCAGAGTGAGGTTATTATTATACTCCCCTGATCTCAAAAAAATTACACGATTAAAACGATTTATCGAACCGAATCGAATTAAACAAAACATATACAATAATATATATACAAAATGTGAATATATATTAATATAAATATAAATATATATATAGACATTTATTCGCGTTGAAGTGTTTCTATTTTTTTTTTTTTTTTTTTTTTTTTTTTACATTCCAAACTTGAAAAATTTTTTTCGAAACAAAAATAAACAATTTTATTTAAAAATTGTTTGTTAGAATTGATAATACGAAAATGTTTTTTTCTTTTTTTTTTTTGCTGGCCGTAAAAATTTTCTTTTTTTTTTTTAACGAAAATTAATTAACGACGGGTAACATTAATTTTCCCGCCCAAAAAGAAAAAAGAAAAAAAAAAGGAAAAACTTACAGCCAGTAAAATATTCAACATGTTACCAAAAACATATTTTTAAAAATAAATAAATAAACAAAACAAAAAGAAAAAAAAATGGCTTACCACAATTTTTTTTTTTAAAAAATTTAACACAACGGAAATCGTCAAGAAATTTTTTTGTTTTTTTATTTCCGGTTTTAATGTTTTTTTATTACAAAAATTTCTTGACCGTTAAATTTTATTAATTGATTGATTGATTATCATTATTCGAAAGGCTATTTGTGTTTTTTTTTTTTTTTTTTTTTTTCCAATCACCTTTCGAAGTTTGTAGTTATTCAATTTATTAATTATTATTATTATTATTATTAGTGATTGAATATATTGTTTTTATACTGTTGATATATAAAATCTGCAAAAAAAATAAATAAATAAATAAATTTTAATAATTTATTTAAAGTTTTATCGAGTTTTAATAAACAATCCGTTAACATAAACATACACACGCACATACACACACACGCACACACACATTCATCTCCAATCAAAAAAAAAAAAAAAAACAAAAAAACAAACCACTAAATGGTGTCGAAAACAAAATTTTTTATTTTATTTGCTTTTTAAACATTATTTCAAATTATTTAAATTATTAATTAGTTAATAATGAGACACACATTTATTGGGGGGGGGGGCGTAAAGCATGTGCCGTGCATGCTGCAAAAAAACAGGGAAAAAATTTTTTTATTTATTTATTTATTAATTTGAGCTTTTGCACTGCTTGCAACATGTTCGCACATGTTTTTTGTGTTCTTGCTTTTTTCAAATTATTTATTATTATTATTATTATTATTATTATTTGTCGTAGACGACAAATTTGTAATAGGAAATTTATTTTCGTTTAAATGCATGATTTCAAAAAAAAGTTTTTATTTACGATTATTATTATTATTTTTTTATTTCGAAATAATTTCCTACTGCAAATTTTATTTTTTTTTAAATTTTCCGAAAAAACTTTAACTTTTCAAAAACCTTTTTTTTTTCTTCCCTTCCTATTACGACTATCAACCCTTCGATCGCAATTCTAAAAGGAAGAAGAATAACCAAAAGGGCAAAATTCAATGATCAGTCGAAGAAAATAACCGTTTAAATATTTATTCCCATCGGAAAATTTTTTCAAAGAAACATAATCAAAAAATTTATCTTTCTGAATTAAACAAAGATTCCAAAGTTAAATTCAATTCCACACATGTTTATGTTTATGTTTTTTTTGATTCTTACTTACTTACATTCATTCCTCCGTGAATTTTTTCCAAACATTAAAATGTTTTTTTTTTTAATTAAATTAATTCCATTTCACTTGGCAAAAATTAACAAAAAAAACATTATGACGAGTTCCAGCGAAACGATGGAGATGTGATAACGACGAAGTTGAAAAAGCACACGTCGATTTACAACAATCCAAAAAATAAAATGGATTCCAGTACGGCCTCATCATTTTTGCCTCTCGATTATCACAACCTGAATCAACACAGGCAACAAACGGGGAAAACGGATTGCAAAGTTCGCGGAAAAGCGGATTGTTATTATTATTCGTGCATGATTGAAAATGGAAAACACAACAACATGATAACGGAAATTCCAATAAAAAAACAAACTCTATCAAAAGCTGTGATCAATTTTAAAAATTCGAGCCTAATTAAAACCGGTAATAATTTAAAAAACGATTTTAAAATATCGTCAAAAAAAAATTATTCGTCCGAACGTTATGATTATTCTCAGAGAACGTTGGATCATTCGATAACTCAAAAACTATTCGACGACATGGGTAACATTGCCGGAAGTAGTGAAAACAATATTTCATATTATTCAAATCGCGGTGTCAATTTAAATAAAATTGATTGTCCAACGACAAAACTCAAAGCCCTTCCATATTCTCTCGATGATTCTGATTTGTTCTTAGAAAATTCATATAGAAACAATTATAGAGATTCAGAAAGTGATTATTTATATAATGATAATGTTTATTATAAATCAAACAAAAGAGTTGCTCCCATTTACATGAAAAACTCATATGAACCTAAAAGCATCGACAGAATTGAAATATAATTAATTTTTATTAATAATAATAATAATTAATAGTTATCGAAACATGTTTACATCACTGCCTCTTTTTGGTTTTTACCACAGCGACTAATTAATATTATTTTTACATACCCACCTTATCGTTATTATGATTATTTGTCCTTGTCATTCATTGCTGGAGTGTGTGTGTGTTTATTCAACATTTCCATGCTGCAAAATAAAAAGTATCATACATTATTAAGCCATATTATGAAATAATCAATCAAATTAAATATTATTAATAAAAATTAAAAGGTTTTATACGAATAATTATTATTCAAAATTGTGATGAATGTTTCCACTCACTTAAATTCAAATCGATATGTTTTCAATTAAAATAAACCATAAAATACCATTTTGTGCCTTAATAAATTCATTAAAATCTTTAAAATATTTAATATATATTAAAATATATATATATATATAATTATGAAAAGTTTGTGTACTTTAAATAAATTTTAATTTTAACATGAGTAATAGATTATAATGATGATTATGAAAGTGTTGTGTATTATTATTACCATGAATAAGAAGAAAAATAATAAAAAAAGTTAAATTATATATATAATGTCATTTTAAAACAAAAAAAAAAATTTTTAATTAAATTTTGTTATGAATAAATGTATTTAAATAAAAAATTTATTAAATTTTAAAAAATATGTCTGCATTTTTATGTATATTTATACGTATACATATATATACCTAATTTATGTTATGATATGTAATTAAACCTTTTCTTTTAAAAAAAAAATTCTAATTCATCCTTACTTTATACATTTTTAAAGTAACCCTTAATGTCTGCTCCTCCAACTTTGTTTATATAATTTGAAATTATTCTGTTTTATTTCATTCGAAAATCCAATATAACGAGTTTCTACAACAGATAACAAGTAAAAAAATTTAAATTTTCTTATTTTTTTTATTTTTTCACAGCCGAAAAATTCAAAAATTAGTTTGAATGATAAAAAATATACAAAACGTGACGGTTGATGATAATTACACGAGACAACAAATGACGTAACAAGTTAATCTTACAGTTTTGCCAACTTAAATTTAAAAAAAAAAAATTAATGTTTCGAAAATTTCCGTTACACATATTCCATAAATATATACTCTGTGTGAAATGAAAACGACAAAGATTTATTTGAAATGTAATAATAACCTAGGGATAAAATTTCAAAAAGGTAACGTAACACATTTAATTAAATTTCTAAGGTAAACTTAATAATATTTAATAATCCATCAAGTTAATAAATTTGTACATAATAAAAAAAAGAAACAAAATACGTCATGGATACGTTTTGGTTATGTTTTATTCAAATCCAACGACGACATTTTTTCGTTTTTTTTTTATGATAATAAGGAAAACCTTTTTTGTTTTAATTTGGTGAGGGGGAAAAGAAAACACAAAAGTTACAAAATAATAAAAATTATATTCAATATTTTGTTTTATCATTAAAAAATAAAAACTTTTTTTTTTGAGAGTAGTGTATATATGTAAATCTATTGTTTTGTATAATCAATCAATCAATCACTATTAAATAAACGTTTTGTTTTTGGTAAAAATATTACATTAAATTAATAGACCGGCTATAATTTTACATTAAAAAAAAGAAACTTGTATGGATTAGTAATGAAAAACAAAAAAAAATCATTTTTTTTTCTTCCCTGATTCTCAAAAAGTTAATTGACAAATAAAAAAAGAAAAACTTGTTTGCTAAACTACTGTTCAAACTGATAAATATTATTACACTTGTTATTATTATTTAAAAAACCGTAAAAAAAATTATTATTGTTATTTTAATTGTCTTTGTTTGCTTGTGTTGTGTTGTATTGTTATTTTGTTGCCACAGTTTTTTTTAATACAGTAATATTCTTTTCTCTACTGGTTTTCTGCAAATTGGACACTCTGACATACGATCACCACACATTTGACAAGTTCCATGACCACAAAGGAATATCATGTTCTTTAACCTGTCCAAACAAACAGGACACATCGTCTGAAAAGCAGAAAAAAAAAAGAATTTAATCTTCCATGATGATATGCATTTATTTATATGAAAAAAAAAAGATGTCGTATCACACCTGTTCTTTGATGTCTTGAAGTTGCTGTTGAAGTTTTTGTATGTCGTTACTTGAAATATCTCTGCTTCCGTTATTCATGAGAGCACCACCGATTTGTTGTTCGACGTTACTCATGGCGGCGTTCGTTGTTTCTTCTTCTATGTTTTCAACGTCAGCCTTTGCACCTGGAAAATTCATTATAATTCATGAGTTTAATACTCCTGGAATTTTTCTTCTTATTCAAGAGAGCATAATGACAATCGATTGTACTTATTGCACCTGTACCGCCGCAGCAAACAACAAAAGGAACCATTTTTTCAATTTGAGTTCGACATTGCACGCATTTTTTCATCAATGGAGCACAAGATTCGCAAGCGCAAAGATGAGTGCACGGCCGAAATAAAACGGAAGCTTTCTTATCCGAACAAACGACGCATTCTTCTATCTAAATAATGAAGAAGAAAAGGTTGAAAAACCAGAAAAAACCTTTTTTTTTTCGTAACCAAAAAAACAAATACTAGCCTTGACTCTACCCCTTACGGGTTCGCGACAAATGAGACATTTTCGAACTCTTGGAGCACATACGGAGCAACAAGCAACATGTCCACAAGGCATGAATAAAATATCCCTTTTTAAATCCGAACAAACTAAACATTCGTCCAAAGTTGAATTTTCTCCGACAATATCCTGAGATGGTGGTTCGATTTGATCCCTGAAAGAAAATATTTGTTTAAGAAAAAATTAAACAATTCGTAATGAAAGAAAAAAGGAAACGGATATACATAATTCGTTAGGAAAAATAAAAAATTCGACGCCATCTTTGAATAAATAATAAAACGTTTTTAGTTCGTTAAAATGAACGATGGAGTCGCCACCGTTGATTATAATAAAAACAAAATAATATTTTTATTTTTTTTTTTTAACCATTTCGGTGGAAATTATTTACGGACACAAGTCAATAATTACATTATAAAAAAATGGAAAAAAATGGCGGGAAGTAATAAAAAGAATAATGATGTATACTCACGTATTTTTATCCTTATGACATTTTGCCAAAGCTTTACAAAGATTCGGATCAGGGCACAGGTCTAAAGGAGTTTGACCTTTTTTGTTTTTAAGAGTTAAATCTGCTCCGTTTCCTGCAAGGAAGCAAGCAATTGAAGCCGACGATTTTTTATCCGCTCCTTGACTTCCGAGATTCATCAATAACTGAAATTTTTTTACCGGAAACAGATGAGTAAAAAAAAAAAATTTTTCTCATAAATTTCCCCCCCCCCCCTCCTCCGAGAAGAAAAAAAAATCTTTCCCCCGGAATTACAGGAAATCGACAAAAAAAAAGAAAGGAAACCAATGATTTTTACAAATGAAAAAAAATTACTACGGATAATAATTCTAGAAAAAATTTTTTCTTTTCTTTCGATTTCGAAGAATGATGATGATAATGATAATGATAAAAAATATGATTTTGACTCACTTTTCCAACATCTTGAACGTCTTGCAATTGTCTCAATTGTGACAATGTATGATGACGAAGTGCTTCGTGCAATGGCGTATCACCATCTTTGTCTGGAATATTTAAATTCGAACCTTCTCTAACGAGCAACTGGAAAAACCAAACAAATAATTATTACAGGAACGTGGGGAGCTCATCAAAAAATGTCGGAGTTCGGAAAAAGTTTTCGTTTTCCCCCTCCGCCCCCCTCCCAACAAAAACTTTAAACGAAAAAAAAAAAAAAAAAAAAAGAAAAAAGAAAATTTTCGACAAGTATTATTATTTATGAAAAAATTTGTCGCCAACAATTGTGAAAATGAAAATAATAATAATAATTTATAAATGCCATTCAGTTTTTTTTTCTTTTATTTTCTCTGACAATTTTTTTTTTTTAAACGTGTGAAAAATTTTTAATTGTGTTAATTAAATTTCGTTCACGTAAATCCAAAAAGAAAAAATTGAAAAAAAAAAAGAAAAGTTTATAAACTTTAACAATTGCATCGAAAAAGGAGAAAGAAAAAAGAAAAATAAATAAAAACTAATAAAAATTTAGTAAAAAAGAGCAAAAAAAAAGTTTAAAAACAACAACAAATGTGGCGAATACAAAACAAAGCAAAACAAAACTAAAAAAAAAAAGGAAAAACTAAAAACTAAAATTGAAGAAGATTAGAAGAAAAACGTATAGGAAAAAAAAAAACAATTTTCCATCTTCCCTCTTTCCCCACCCCCCAAAAAAAGCAAAAACCAAGAACAGGACTGGGAAAATGAATAAGGAAGAAAAGAAAGGAAACAAAAAATTTTTAATAACAATAATAATTTTTGTTTGTTTTGTTTTGTTTGTTCGAGTTTTTTTTTTTGTTCCTTACTCTGACTATTTGTGTGTGCTGTCGTTCGACAGCCAAATGTAGTGCCGTTTGCAAATTGACGTTTTGAGAATTCATGTCTGCTTTTCCCTGTCGCACGAGCAATTCGGCAACTTCGACGTGATTGTTTAATGCGGCTAAATGCAACGCGGTGTAACCATCGTCTTTTTTCTCATCAACTATCCAAGGCCTCGGTAGTTTCATCAAAAGAATTCTCATCGCGCTGAAACAGACAAGAAACAAACAAAAAAAATAATTAATTTATATGTTTGAAAACGACAAATGGGAATGCATCGATTGATTCGACGTCGACAAAGATTATACCGGAGGGGTGATGAGAAAAGGGTGGCAGGAAGGCAAGAGGAGGGTTGGTAAAACAACGATGAAATTTTATAATTTACCCTTAAGAAACCATCCCAACCATTCGACGGTCATTAAATTTAAGGATTTCATTTATTTTAATTATGGAGCAAACGACAGCCGACGTTAATTTAATATTATTTTATTCCATAATTGATTATAACGGTGATTAATTTTTCCGCAAAATACCACATCGAAACGGTTTTTTCACCCTCCCCCCGATTCCGCCATTACCACCATTCTTACCCCTCCCTACCCCGTCCCTTACCCAACGGTTTTTTTATTACCCTTTTACCCCCGTAATAAAATATAATAATAATAATACGAAAGAATAATATTTATCGTCGGTTTATCTGTTAAGCTTCTGCGAGACCATTGATAATATATATATATATGGTTTTTCGAGATGATGATGTAATTTCCTGGGATTTCTAATAAATTCTATAGAAATTAAATGAAGATGAGACCAACGAAAAAAAAAAAAAAGGCAAATTTATAGAATGTGAAGATGAGATTACGTTCGTCGTTTCCGGTTTTTTTTTTTTTTTTTTTTGTGAGAGAACCAGCGGTTTTAGAAGGCGGTTTCAAACCCGATATTTCGCATCGTCGTTTTTCTTTTTTTGTTGAATAACAACATCAAAGTTGAAATCGTATTATGATGTCATAACATTTCATCTAATTTTCCAATTAAAACGAGGAAAATGTAAACTATTTTAATGAATGAAAACCTACGACCGATAATAATAATAATATTAATTAAAACGAGTGGGATTTTTTTTTTTTCCTCGATATACGTCACGCGTTCGGTGAACGCACGTAAAAAAATTTAAAATAATAGTTTGGGGATTTAATAAAACAGCTGTTTTTGAGTTTCGAACCAAAAAAAAAAAAAAAAAAGACCCACTCGTAGTTTAAATTAAAAAGGTTCGAACACTCCGAAGAAATCTTAAAATTCATAATAATAAACCAGATGGAAAAATTTGGTTAAGTTTAAACCGCCGCCATTGATATGACGTCACGACGAAGACGTTTTTACCACCCGTACGCGCGTAATAATGACACGTTAATGAATTATAAAAAAAAAAAATTTTTTATTTTTAAGATCAACTTTTCTCTCCCTCTCCCTCCCTCTCTCTCTCTCTTTCTTTCGGGATTTTTATAATTAAAATCGACTAAATATGGATTCCATGGAAAGAGAAGAAGAAGTAGGAGGAAGAGAAAAAAGGGAAGAAAAAAAAACGGGTGACTAAAATAAAATTAGTTCATTAGCACGTGCTGTATAGTTCGCTTTTAATTTTTATTATTATTATTATCATCATCATTATTATTATTATTTTTCCGTTTTTAAAACGTTTAAAACGACGATCGCTATTACTCTGCAGTCAATCACCTAATAAAAGAAAGAAAAAAAGAAAAAAAAAATCGTCGTTAAAATTTCAATGACTTCGAGTTGGGTCTGCACCAGAATGGGAAAAAAAATTCGAATCGCAAGAGTGACTGGAAAAGAATTTTTTTTTGTTTCTGCAAACTTTAGAACGATACCTATGACGTCACCAAACCCAAATTTAAAATTTTTTCTCTTAACTCTCCCGAAAATTTTGAACGAATCAATTACCTTCAGGAATTACTCTTCGGACAAACAAAGATTTTTTACAAATTTAAACAGACTCGACATTTTCATTAAATAATAATAATGATGATGATAATGATGATGATGATGATAATGACGATGATGATGATGATGAATCCTAAGAAAATAAATAAAACGTAAAAACGAAATTACAAATTTTCAACAAACAGAGACAAGTCGTATTAATTTTTTTTATTATTTTTTCGTAATTTTAAACTCAGCAGCAGGAGCAGCAGCAGACGAATAAAAAATTCAAAGACACAAAAAGAAAACCATATAGTTGACAAACAACCGTAAATAAAACAAATAACATTAGTAATAATAATAATAATAAAAGTTAAAAAAAAAAAAAAACATAAAAAGTATTAAAACTTGCATCGAAGAACAACAACAACAACAACAACAGACTTTCAATTAAAACTTTTTTAAGTTAAAAAAAAAATTAAACAAACTTTTTTTGATATCTGGAAAATGCAAAAAAAAATAAAACAAACAAACAACAGGAGAGTAAATTATTGTTTCTTAGAATTAACAATTAATTATTTAACAAACGAACAACAACAAACATTTTAAAGAAATCGGAAAAAATCAAAAGAAAAAGAAAAAAAGAAAATAAGGGAAATAAAAAACAAAAAGAATAACAAAAAAAGAAAAAAAAACAACAACAACAACATAAAAAGTCATCAAGTTTCATTCGTGAATGTTCTAACGGTATAATTGAAATTTCCTTTTCGTATGTTTATATTAAAAAAATGTAAGAGAGAGAGAGAGAGAGAGAGAAAAAGGAAAAGTAAAAAAACATGAGATAATGGGAGAGGCCAACATAATTTTAATTGCCATCAGTTTTACAACAACAAAAATCCTTGGACATGTTTTCGTGTTAATAACAACATTAATAAGAGAGAGAGAGAGAGAGAGAGAGAGAGAAATAATGTTTCAGTTCAGTAACTCTCGAGCTGGGACATAAGCCGCTGGAATATTATCATTATTATTAACGTCATGTTGTTTACGTCATTCGTCGGTTTAATCATGATGTCATAAAAAAACATTCGGGTTATCATCATCACGCGTGCGAAGAAGAACAAAAAAAAAAAAGATCCTGTGTTCTCCTGGAAAAATACGGTTGTTGCTGTTGTTGTTGTGTTTGTGCTCGTACGCGCGTGAATAAACAAAAAGTGAAAAAGAGAAAGAGAGAGAAAGAGAAAGAGAAAGAGAGAAAAAATAAATTGTGTGACAAAAATTAAAATAAAATTATTCGTTTTATTATAACGAAAAAAAAACATAATAATAATAATAATTTTAATTTCTGTCGTCTCCCCAAAAAAAAAAAAAAAAAAAAAAAAAAAAAAAAAAATTTTTTTTTGTCTTCTGCTTTTGTTTTTTGTTTCTGTTTTGTACTGTTATTTTTAAATTACCCTTTTTCTGCTGGAATCCATCATATTTTTTTTTTTTTGATGTTGTTGTAAACTTCTAACACGATAAAACAATTTTGACAGAGTTAATAAAGATAATAATGATAATAATAATATGCACACGAAATATTTTAATGAGTTTTTTTGCAATGTGAATAAATTTTTATGTTTTTCCAGGAGGAAAAATCACTCGGTTATTCTCCAGTTGAAAATGGATTCAAAAAAAGGAGTCAAAGGTAAATACAAATAATAATTTTTTCTTTTTTTTTGGTTCGTCATTTCCTTTCGTAGTAAAAAGTTCCCCCCACCTCTTTTTTACCACCACCACGACCCCTTCCAGGAATTCTCCAGAATCTTACCTTCGTCGGTATATATATATATAAAACGAAGAGCATTGACCCGTGTTTATTTATTTATTTATTTTTTTATACGCGGCATTTAAATTACTTTAAAAATCCAAACATAATTAAATCGATAAAATTTTATCGATCGATCCATCGATAGATCGATCGATTAATTATCATTAAATTATTTGGCACGGTAAAAGAAACAAAAGAAACGGATGTTTTTTTGTATAATAGTTTTAAAATTCGCATACGCGCGCACTTACGCACGCACGTTCGCACGCATTCAAATTAAACTCAGCTGACCGTAATGATGATTTCGAGAATGGTAAATAAACAAAAAAATAAATAAATAAATAAATTTATTATTTATTTATTTATTTATTTATTTTTATTACAAATGACATCGTCAACGAGGGAGATTTTTTTAAACGTGACGTTAAAATGTCGTACGTTTAGAATAATATCGTGCCGTTAGACTAAAATAGACATCGAATCCCTTGTTTTTTTCATTTTCGTTTTCGTTTTCTCTTTTATCCGAATCTCTATATTTAATATTATGATTGAAGTCAGTTTTGTGGCTTCAATCCAATATTAACAACAACAACAACAACCAGATATAATTATGTTGATAAAAAGAAAAGAGAAAGAGAGAGAGAGAGAAAGAGAGCATATCGTGATGGGGGAGGCCGGCCAAGAGGGTTTAAAAAAATTTATATATATATATATATATATAAAATTATTTCGAAATTGAAATTTTTAAGATTTAAACATAACAACAACAACAACAACCACAACAACGACGACGACAACGACAACAACAACGACAACGACAAACGCGTAGAATTTTTATTAATTAAAAAAAATGTTTTAAAAAATTTTTTTTTTTTAATTTACACGCCCGGATATTTTTTTTTTTGAGGGAAAAACAAAGAGAGAGAGAGAGACAGAGGAGGGTGAGAGAGAGAGACAGAGGGGGGTGAGAGAAAGAGAGACAGAGAGGGGGTGAAAGAGAGAGAGAGACAAAAAAATGTGACGAGGGTCAAGAGTCGAAGAACCTACATAACAAATGTTACATTAGTTAAATTTAATTCATTCTCCGATTGGCAAAAAAATTTTTTTTTTTAAATTTAAATTTAATTTTATTCTTTCCCGTTTCCGCCATTTTTTTCTTCTCTTCTATATTTTTGCGTAATAAAATTTTTATTTTATTACACGATACAATTTAATTTTCCCATCGATATTTTTTTTTTCTTTCTTTTGTACGATTATTATTATATTTCATAGAGAGAGAAAGAGAGAGAAAAAAAATCGTGTCAGGAATAATCAGAGATTTCATAAAATAAAAAAAAAATCTAATTTTTATTCTTACGAAAAAAAAAAAAAAAGTTAAAAAACTACGTTTTGAAAATTTTAACGAGACTCGTGGGTTTCCACTTTTCCCTCTCTCTCTCTCTCTCTTTTTTTTTCTTG